TAAATTCAACTTTAAAATAAAAAGTTTATAATTTTCTCTATGTACTCATCAAAATACACCAGAAATCAAATGACGACCTTCAAAATTCATAAATTTTGCGGAAGTGGCGGGGGCTAATATACATATATATATATATATATATATATATATATATATATATATATATATATATATATATATATATATATATATATATATATATATGTATATATATATATATATATATATGATTTTTTTATAAGGTTTGGAAGTACCCGAAAGTGTGGCAAGGATTTGTGAAATGTTGTCAGGTGCGTACGACCTGGTTTTTTGACATGTTTTTTTTTTTTTTTTTTTTTTTTTCAGTAAAAAAGTAACTTAAGTTTACTTAAATTCTCTTTCAAATTCAATTAAAAAAGTTTTTTTTTTTTTAATTTTTTTTTTTTTTTTTGAAGATGACAAAGCCACAATCATATCCTGTTCTGCTTAAACTTCCACCAAATCAGTTAGAGAGTGTTTTTGAGGTATTCTTAGCATATTTTAAAAAATCTTATGTTATGTTTTTGTTTTTTTATAAAAAAGTTTGTTTTCTTTAGATCAGTCCCGAAATGAAAGAACCTTTGATTAAACATATAGAAAGTCTTACTGCTAATCAGGTACAATTTCATTCACAATTATTTTTTCGTTATTACCTATTTTTATAATTTTCTTTATTTTAATTTTTAATCAAAGTTTATTATTAATACAAAGTTGTTAACTTTTTAGCGCTCTCATATTCCTAAAGCTATTCTTCAATTACTTGATATAAAAGAAATATCTGCGACAGCCGTTGATCCTTCGGCTTCTTACGCAAGTGGCGAAAAACGAAAGAGAAAAGCTGAACCTACTAAAGAAGTCTCATCTCGAGAAACTGTAAAAAGGAAAAATAAAAAAATCAACGACGAGGATTAATTATTTGGATAAAGGGCTTTATTTCAAATACGCGTTGCTGAGTATTTTCAAAATAACAAGAAGAAACGTTTTACTTCATGAACTCGATTTAATGTAGATCGAAAGCATCATCGAATTTATTTTGGTTGAAAGAATTCACCAAGTTTCGATAATTTAACTCCAAATGCGTTAAATAATTCTATGAATGATACCATTTTAGGTATTTGAATCTATTTTTAGTACTGAGCATTTTAGTTCAAAACAAAATATATCACAATAACAAAAATTTATTTTAGAAATCCTTTATGGGTACGAAAGGTTATTTAAAAAGTATTTCTGAATTTATTCTATAACTTTACCTAATTTAATCCCGGAACTCCTCATTTATCTTGAAACCTTGTAGCAAAAAAACAACAGGCTGAATCCTATACTCTCTTTTTTTTTTTTTTAAATCATTATTTACTATTCTGCATAAGTATTGTAGATTTAAAAATACAAGGAAACTTACAGACTATTTTATTTCAAAGATTTAAAAGATTCGAGATTTTAAAATTTTAACAAAAGTAATGGAGATTTGACTCAGGAGCTTTTTTTGTGACTCTTTAAATGATCTGTTTATCTTTTTTTATTGGTGTATATAACATTAATTTTTTTCATTTTGATCAATTTGTCAGGTCATTGTACTGAGTATGGTCCTTGTATTGCTGCTTATACAAAAAAAAATTATATAAGCGTCTTGGTTTTGATAGTCCACGTTTGTACTTTTAAGATACAGTTTGCTCTCCTGGTATTCTTTTTTCAACATAAAACCAACAAAAACGGTTTTTGGAATTTGATTTTCCGTTGCGCACTCTACTGTATTCCATCTTATATTTAAAAATTTTTAAAAGGTCTATTCTGCCACTTAATTGTCAACTGTTCTGTTCTATATATTGTATATCGAGAGATGAGAATTTATGAAACTATTCTACGATTACAAACAAAGATTTCTTGCAAATTTGGAGATTTGGTAATACTAAATCATACATTACTAGGAAAATTTTATTACCTTGAGTTTGATATGCCACATGTTTACCAATTATCTAGGTTTTTTTTATCATTTTGGTTGAAAAAACTGTTTTGCTCGTTTATTGAGGCATTAGGCCGGGTGAGTAAAAATGAGCAACTGCTTTTACTGTAATTGGTGAGCTTTACGCGAATAAAAACTTTAGCAATTTTGCTTAAGTTTTTATTCAGATAAACTGAGCAATTTCTGAGTAAATTTCTTTACTTACGTGTGTATAAATTTGAGCAAAACTGCTTAAGTTTTTATTCGCGTAAAGCTGAACAATTACTGAGTAAAAGCAGTTGGTCATTTTTATTCAGCCGGCTTATTGTGCAGAAGAAATGCAAACCTTTTGAAAATTTGTAATACTAAAAAAATTACGAAGTAATTGCATTTTTTTTTTAATTTTATATAAACAAGGTATTGAGAATGTCATTTTCACAGATATTTAAAAAATGTTTGTTTACTATATCTCACATCACCACATGATTTGGATTATATTCGGGCTTTATTCGATTGCTCAGTAACTAAAAAGCCAGGACCAATCTAAAGTTTTTTTTAAAAATCTTCTAAGTTCTGTAACTAATTTGTTTTTCTTAATAATTTTTCTCTGTTATCATCAAGTGTTTGTTGCTTACATTAACAACTTAAGGCCTTGTTTTCATTTAAATCAATTAGCTCTCAAGCCGTATGTCCAAATAGCTAATGAATAGTCTATTTCAAGTTAACCCAGGACATTTTGAAGAAAAATAATGTTTTTTTCCTTAGAGGATTTCTAGCTACATTGCCTTTATTAAAACAATTACCTGAATTGATAAATTGGCAAAACCCTAATTGGTTTGTATTTATTTGCAACGAATTTTTGTATATTTGTCTTCTCTACAGTGTAAAACTGTTGTCTTAGACTCTGTCCATAAATGGTTAAATTCAAAAAGTAATACATAGATCATTTGTACAAATACACCAGACCCATCATTTGGACTTGTTTTTTAATGATACGCACATCAACCTCAATAGAGTTTCAAGTTAAAGAACCATTTTCATGAATTTCAAAATTATTTGCTGTATGGTTTTATTTTATAATGAAATCCTGTTTAACTATACTTATATTGTTCCTTGAAGAAATCATAAAGATCACAGTAAACACATCCAAGGCTGTGACATATTTTTGATGATTTCCTTTCCAATCTGTTTGCAACAATGCTCATTTTGATATTAAAGATTGTTAGTTGAAAATGTTAATAAAACTCTTCTCTCTCGTCGTTCTTATCTGCATTAAAAAAAGTTAGATAATACACATTTTCATATGATTCATTTCTCACCTGGATTATCAAAGGCCTCTGTGAAAATTTTGCGCTAGAGGATTTGTGTTACTATATTAAATACCATACCACCAGGATGAGAGTTAATTATTATTACTTTTTTAATTGGTATTGACATTATGAAGTGTGTTATACAATTTTTGCCCTTTACTTCTACCACCACCACAACTAAATTCAATTTCAAGAATTAAGTTTGATAGTTTTTTTGTTTTGGCATGAGATTTAAATATTTTTAGGCATAAAAATTTGAAACAATGTGGTATTGGCTCAGGTAAAAGAATTATTATATATCAAAGATAATAATAATTCTTTTACTCGTGTAAACATTCTTATTGAAAGCTCTTAGCATTTTCCTCAGCTGTCTATATAATGACTAACCCAACAGTGAATCACAGCAAACTTCAGCAACAGTCACAACTGGAGGGTAAACAGATAGATACTAGAAAATTACAAACCTCCTTTACATCAACATTTTCGATTTTAGCAAATTTATTTTCACTTTTTCAGAGTTTTTCTGTTCTTTGAATTTTGAATTTTGAGAAAATCATCCAAGTTTTTTTCTCTTCTTTTATTTATTTATATTTTTTTATCAATCACCCGCTGTATATAATACAAGGTAAATTATTATAAAGTTACATTTTTGAGAGGAAATAAGTTTTTATCTTGGAATATTTACTTCAAGGATATCTTTGAAGATTTTCCTTTGCTCTAATGAGTTCCAGAACTCAATTGCATTGCTTAACATTTGAAGATTTTTTTAGGAAATATATTTTTTAACACAATAATTTTTACTTTTTTTTTGTTTTTTATTAAGCTCTCTAGATTGAGTTCATTCTGATTGCATAAACCTATGACATCATCTAGAAAACCTATGACATCATCTAGAAACCTATAACATCATCTAGAAAAGGGTGCTTAACGGTTTTGTTTTTAAACTGCAAATTTACAATACCAAAGGTTGTTTTATTGCTCAATATGCGAATAAATAAGTTTAACTTGTTTTGCTGTACAATTGTTGGTACATCTTGGATGTAAAACAAAGAATGAATATAATTTTTGCTATGTTTGGAAACATTGAAAGGTGACTTAAGTGCATTCCTCCCTATTATATCAAGCTTTTGCATTATTACATCTTTATAATCGCAAAGTTCAAAACCATACGTAAGTACCGGAACCGCCAATGTTTTATATAGCTGGACGGTAGAGCTTGGATGACCAAAGCGGATTCCAGACTAAAAAAGAGTTTGGATTTATGCCCTGAATTGATATTTTATTATCAATATTTGAATGATGAAGTGAGGCAAAAAAAGAGCTTTTAATATCCATTAAAACCTAGATGATTAGGTTTATCATCCAGTTTTATTTGTTGGTGGTCGACTGTTATCGTGCAGCTTGCAATTTGTTTTTTTCTAGTGAACAAGAACTCGGTCTTATTAGGATTCAACTTTATGCAATTTGCGTTAGTGTATATATTACAAGCTGCTATAAGCTTTTTTATTCCAGACAGGGTAGATCTAAGAAGTATGATGTCATCATAGTATGCTACAACACCTGTGTAGTTTCCATAAATTGATGTCCCTGCGATACTTTTATTTTGTATGGCTTCAAGTAGGCTTTGAGTATATATATTATACAGGTGAGGCGGAAGAATCGATCCTTCTCTCACTCCCTGTGTTAGATAAAATGGATATGACTTGCATCCTAGATAAGTGACAGAAGCACTGCTTTCATGGTAGAATGACGATATAGTATTAATAATATAAAGCAGTAATATTTTATTGTTGTATAGTTTCTCAAATAAAATGTCCTAGCTACAAAAGCAGCCGTGTATAGTTTCTCAATATAATGAAACTATATATACTCAATATATAAAGCAGTAATTTTTTATTGTTGCATAGTTTCTAAAATAAAATGTCCTAGCTTTAAAAGCAGCCGTGGCGCAGTGGTAGCGCACTTGCCTCAGAAACGTAAGATCCGTGGTTCAAACCCCACCTCTGGGCAAGTTTTGTGACATCGGAAGCGTGAACTTCTCTTCCGCGGTGCTCTGTGATAAGACCGTAAGGACTTCTTGGGGCACCTTAATCAGAAAAAAAAAAAAAAAACTACATCTGTCAAATGCTTTTTCAGCATCTAGGGAATAGAGATAGACAGGTGAGTTGTTATTGTTGTAATGTTTTATCGTTTCACTTATAACAAATTCGGCGTGTAAGGTTGAGCTGTTTTTAGTAAAACGAATTGAAGAGGATACGTTTCTTTTATCTCTGGACAGATTATTAAAATAAGATATTCTATTAGTTTTTGTAAAGATTGGAATGATGCCAACATCATGGTAGTTATTCGGATCAGTTAATGATTTTTTATAAGATTTAGAAAAAGGTATAATAAGTGATGCAGACATCGATTTTGGCGCCTGACCATGGTTCTGAGGCAAGTGCGCTACCACTGCGCCACGGCTGCTCATGGATTTTCATAGTCTAAAGTTATCTTTATTTTTTTGAATTGCTCGGTATCAAATATGTCAAGAATTTAAAGACGTTCACGATGATTTCGAATTAAGTTTTTCGGAATTAAGATAATATTTTGAGCTATTAAATTTTTTTGGGTGAGAACAAGTTTCTTCAATGTTTTCATATAATTATCTTCAAATGCATTAATGTCGGATTTTAAATACGAGAATATCTCACTGAGTGATTTTAGCGCCATATTTTTAATGTAAATGAAATCTATTTTTCAATCACTTTATTGAAAAAAAAAAATATTTTAAATATTATTATATATATTTTTTCTCTTTCTTAAAAACATCACGTCTTACTCGTAACTTGTATTGCGTATTAAAAAAACAGGGTATTTCTGAGTGGTAACCATCGTCTTGATTAGCTTATCTTCGTTAAATGACAGCAAAATCTACATAGATAAAGC